TCTACTCTCTATAGGTCACCAAGAGAGTTGAAATTGATTCAGTGAAAACTAACAAAAACAACAACATTCACACAATGGAGCACTGTACAGCAATGAGAATGTTTCATCTACAACCGTATCCAACAATAACAGTACTTCAGAATACTTAGAGCAAAAATTGACAAAACTGAAAAGAGAAATAGACAAATCCACAATTATTATAAAGAGATTTCAATAATTCTTTCTCAGTATTGATAGAATGAATAAACAGGAAATTAGTAAGGATATAAAACCTTATTAAAAAAATCTCCATTCAATAATAGCAGAAAACCTAGAAATCAATAACAAAAAGACATCTGAAAAAGAACCTCGACTGTTTGGAAATTAAACAGCAGATTTCCAAATAAACCATGTATCAAAAAGAAATTACAAGGGAAAATAAAAGATCTTCTTAAACTTAAAAGAATACAAAAACACAACATATCAAAGTGTATAGGATGCTACTTAAACAGTACTTACAGGAAAATTCATGTTAAATGCTTATATTATGATGAAAGGTCTAAATTAAATGATCTAAACTTCCACCTTAAAAAGCTAGGGAAAAAAAAAAAAAAGGAAATGATGCCCAAAGTAGGCAGAAAGAAGAGAATAATAATAGTAGGAGTCATTGAAATAGAAAACAGAAAAACAGTGAAGTTAATGAAACCACAAGTAGTTTTTTTTTAAGATTCATAAATTGGCAAACCAGTAACCAGACTTACCAACAACAATAAAAATATTAGATGCAAATTACCAATATCAGGAGTGAAGGAGGTATGTCACAACAGAACCTACAGATATTAAAGGGATAATAGAATATTATGAAAGATTTTATGCTAATAAATTTGATGACATAGATGAAATGGAAAATGTCTTTGAAAAACACAAACTACCAAAGCTCACTCAAGAAGAAATAGATAGTCCTCATAGCTCTGTATCTAATAAACAAATGGACTTTGTCATTAAAAATCTTCCTACAAAGAAAACTCCAGGCCCAGATGGCCTCACTTTTGAATTCTACCAAACATTGAAGGAAGAAATAATACCAATTCTACACAAACTCTCCCAGAAAATAAAAAAGAAATACTTTTCAGTTCATTTTATGAGGCCAGTATTACCCTCATACCAAAGCTGAAGACAACGTAAAAAAAAACCCAAAAAACTGCAGATCAATATCCCTCATGAGCATATATGCAAAAATTCAACAATATATGAAAATGTTAATACATCGTGAGCAAGTGGCATTCATTCCAGGAATGCTAAGTTGGTTTGGCATTTGAAAATCAATCAATGTAATTACCAATTAATATATTATTATTTCAGTATATTAGTAATATATTAGTATTACCATGTATCTGTAGAAAGAATAACTATATGATCATCTCCATAGATGCAGGAAAAGCATTTGATAAAATTCAACACCTATTCCTGATAAAAATTCTCAGGAAGTTAGGATGAGAAGAGAACTTCTTCAGCGTGATAAAGGGCTTCATAAAAAACCTTGGTTGACATCATAATTAATGATGAAAGACTTAATGCTTCCCATTCAAGTCAGTAAGAAGACAAAGAATATCCATAATCACCACTTTTATTCAATATTGTACTGGATGTCCTAGCCACTGCAATGTTGAAAAAAATAACAGGTATACAAATTGGAAAGGAAGAAATAAAACTCTTTTTGTTCACAGATAACATGTTTATATAGTAAAAATTCCTAATCTTAAAAAAAGAAAACTTCTAGAACTAATTAATGAGTTTAACAAGGTTGCAGGATACAAGATAAATATATACATATCGATTATATTTCTTTATACTAGCAACCAACCATTGGAAATCAAAATTTTTAGAAGTATCATTTTTATGACTTAAAAATATGAAATATTTGGGAATCAATTTATGAAAATATATGCAGTATCTATAGACTAGTAACTACAAAATATTGCTGAGAAATTAAAGAAGGTCTATATAAATGGAGAGATATACCATGTTACTGGATCCCAATACTCAACAAAGTTGTTAATTTTCCTCAAATTGCTTTATAGATTCAATGCAATCACAATCAAAATCCAAGGAGGCTTTTTAGTAGAAATTGCAATGCTAATTGTATAATTTATTGGAACTTCAAAGGACCTATTATAGTCAAAACAATTTTGAAAAAAAAAAAACAACAAAGTTGGAAGACTTAAAATACCTGATTTCAAAACTTACTATAAAGCAAGACTATTGCTACTAATATAAGGATATATGTGTGTGTGGGTGTGTCAAAAGAACAGAATAGAGAGTCGAGAAATAAATCCACATATATACAGTCAACAGAGTCCTGGTGGTGCAGTGGTTAAGAGCTCCACTGTTAATGAAAAAGGTCGACAGTTCGAATTCACCAACCGCCCCTTGGAAACGCTATGGGGCAGTTCTACTTTGTCCTATAGGGTCACGATCAGTCGGAATTGACTCTATGGCAACGGATTTGGTTTGATTTTTTTGGTTTTATATATAACAAAAAACCTGTTGCCGTTGAGTTGATTCCGACTCATCGCAACCCTATAGGACAGAGTAGAACTGCCCCATAGGGTTTCCAAGGGGCGGTTGGTGGATTCAAACTGCAGAGCTTTTAGTTAGCAGCCAAGCTTTTAACCACTGTGCCACCAGGGCTCCTTGGTATATGTGGTCAACAGATTTAGTAGAATTTGATGAATATGCCAAAAAAATTCAATGGAGAAATGGTATTCTTTTCAACAAATGATGCAGAACAATTGAATATCCAAATGCAATAAAATGAACCTGATTCTTATATCATATACAAAATTTAATTCAGAGTGGATTCTAGACCAAAATGTAAGAGCTAAAGCTATAAAAGCTCAAGAGGAAACCATAGGAGAAAATATATGTGACCTTGAGTTAGGTGAAGACGTCTTAGATAAGACAAAAAAAAAATCACAAACCATAAAAAAAATCATAAATTCAACCTCATCAAAATTAAAAACTTTTGCCTTTCAAAAAACATTGTTTTCAGCAATGTAATACCTGTTGACTAATGTCTGTGTTTTTATTAGAGCTGTAATATAGTTTAGCTGCATTATGGGTTAAGTAGAATTGATCTGAGCTGATCTGGGAATCTAAGGCCATTATTTCGATGGGCAAATGTGTTGGGATTCATACAACCAACATAAAACAATAGCGTGTAACATGACCTATCTTGTATGTGAGTTGAAAGTGTAAAAATAATAAAATAGAACAACACTAAATCAACAATGGAAGAAACTAATCCATTCAGCAGCAGCATGATAGATATAGGGACTTTGACCTCGAGCAAGTTTGAGCCTCAAAGGAGCCCTGGCTGTGCAGTGGCTAAGTGCTTGGCTGCTAACCAAAAGGTCAGCGGTTCGAACCCAGCAGCCACCCCGTGGGAGAAAGATGTGGCAATCAGCTTCCATGAAGATTTACAGCCTTGGAAACTCTATTTGACAGTTCTACTCTGTCTAATAGGGTCGCTATGAGTTGGAATTGACTCGACAGCAACGGGTTTTAAATTTGAGCCTCAGTTTTCTCATGTGTGAAATTAGGCTAATAATTCTTGTCTCAGGATTTATTTTGCAAATTAGATGACAAAATGTGTATGGAAATGTGTTAGAAACAATAAAGCAACAATATCAATGAAAGCTTAAAAACACACTATTGAGAAAATGAAAAGGCAAGCCTCAGACTAGGAGCAAATATTTGCAAAACATATATGTGATAAAGGGCTTGTATCCAGAATATAAAAAGAACTTTTATAACTCAATAATAAGATAAATAACCCAATTATTTTAAAAACGGGTAGAAGATTTGAACAGATAATTCACCAAAGGTAAACAAGTGGTAAATAAGTACACGAGAAGATGCAAATTAAAACGAGATACCACTTCGCAACCACTAGAATGTTTCACATTAATCAGATTGACCATATAAGTGTTGGTGAGAATGTTGAGCAACTGGAAAAACAATAAAACTACTGATACATGCAACAACCTGGAAGAATTTCAAAAGCATCCTGTTAAGTGAAAAAAGACACAAAAGACTACAGAGTATGTAATTCCACTTATATAACATTTTAGAAAAAACAAAACTATTGTGACAGAAAGCATAGCAGTTTTCAGGGGCTGGGTTTGGGAGGGGATTTACTGCAAAGGGACTGCAGAGAGACCTTTTTGAGGTGATGAGAATATTTATATCTTAATTTTGTTGGAAAGAGCCCTGGTGGCACAGTGCTTAAGCACTTGACTGCTAATCAAAAAGTTGGCAGTTCGAACCCACCAGCTGCTCTGTGGGAATAAGATGTGGCAGTCTGCTTCTGTAAAGATTATAGCCTTGGAAACCCTATGGGGCAGTTCTATTTTGTCTTATAGGGTCACTATGAATCAGAATAGATTCGACAGCAATGGGTTTGGTTGTGGTTTTAATTTTGGTGGTATTTAATACAACAGTAAGTATTTGTGAAAACTTATGATTGATGAATTTTATTGTATATAAGTTATGTCTCAATAAGGCTAAATGTGTAAATGAAAATTCAAGCCTTCGGTAGCTCTGTAAGCAACATCAATAACCCATTGTCACTGAGTTGATTCCGACTCATAGTGACCCTGGAGGACAGAGTAGAACTGCTCTATAGGGTTTCCAAGACTGTAAATCTTTATAGAAGCAGACTGCTACATATTTCTCCCACAGAGTGGCTAGTGGGTTTGAACCACCAACCTTTCAGTTAGCAGTCGAGTGATTTAACCACTGCACTACCAGGGCTCCTCAAGCAATATCAATAGTGAACACTTACTGAGTTCCTACTACTGGTAGCGCAACGTGCTTAGACTTGGAGACAAAGAGCTTGGTAAATCTCAGCCTCTCCCACAAGACTTCACAGCCTATTCTGCAGATAGGAGTAAAGTCAATCAAAAGAATTAACAATTATGTGAAATGATCTCAACAAATGCTATATTTTGCTGTTTCAGGTGGTTAGAAGAACATGTAGTAGAGCTTTTCAGCAAACAAATTGGAACATATCACTGAACTTTGCTAACATGGACGACCCTGCACAAGAAGACCAAAACCGTGGCAAATCCAGACATGCCAACAAAGTACAGAAAGGTCTAATGAATTTAATAACTTGTCTTTGGGGAGAGGAGAGAGCTCCTGACACATGTTCATTTTAGTTCGTAGGAGTAAATTTTGGGGGCATGTAGTAAGTCCTGGGTTACACCACAAGGCTATCCTTGAGGCATTTCAAATAGATTGATTTGGGGGTAAATCAGTTGTTTCCCATTGTTTCAAGTATGAATGATTGGGAAGAAACTATGGGAAGCAAAGATGAGGGGGGAAAAAAGAGGAAGCCTACTCAGCAAAAAAAAAAAAAAAGGCAGGCTTATATTATTACCATGTATCTGTAAGAATCTCAGTCCTGAAACAGATGTGTAAGAGATCTTACTTTACTTCCTAATAAATTTATTAGGTGGCGATGGTGGGAGTCTTTGGCAGGGTTGGGGGGTGTGCAAGGAAGGTCAGGTGTGCTCAGGTCATCAGCCATGCATTCACATAGCTTACCACTAAGACTTTCACTGCCCCAGCCCATGTGTTCCCTTTCGTTTTGTTGGTGTGCACTAGTTCTGGGCCATCCCTGGGGTACAGGAATCATCGCTAAGGCTGGAAATCTCATTCCAAGATTCTCACATACCCCCACTACTATTTCTTTCTGGGGTATTACTTCTGGAGTCCCTGGGTGGTGCAAATGGGAAGATTAGAGGTTCGAGTCCACCCAGAGTTTCCTCACAAGAAAGCCTGGCAGTCTACTTCTGAAAAACCAATCACTGAAAACCCTATGGAGCACAGCTCTCTAATGGGTTCGTCATGAGTCAGAATCAACTTGACAGCAGAGTCCCTCCTGCTCCCAAACCCAGAGACAGACCTCTGTTTCTTCCTCCTATCTTCTGATTTTATGCTCTTTTTCTTCAGTTATTTTTTATTGACAAATAAATTCTGAATATATGGTCAGAAAAAGTGCACAGATTGTAATTGTACAGCTTAATGAATATTCAGAAGAAAACACCACCCATGGAATCACTACTCAGACCAAGAAATAGAATGTTAACAGTATCCCAGAAGCCCTTGCCTTATTCCTTTCTCAAGCATTACCCCTCTTCTTTGCAAAGGTAAACACTACAGCTATCTTGACTTTTAATACCATTGATTAATTTAGTATATTTTTGACCATTGTATAAATTGGAATCATACAGTATGAACTCTTTTCTTCAACTTTTGTTTGAAAGATTCAACTTCATGTTTCATTTACTGGTAACTGTTCATTTTAATTGCTATAAAGTTTTTCTTTGTTTGAAAATACAATTTATTTATCCATTCTACTACTGATAACATTTTACTTGGATCCACTATCAACGCCCATGGAAGCAGCAGTCAAGAAGTCAAACGACGTATTGCATTGGGCAAATCACTTTGAGGACTAAGGTGGACCTGACCCAATGCCTCATATGCATTCAAAAACTGTACAATGGGTAAGGAAGACCAAAGAAGAATTGAGGCCTTTGAATTATGATGTTGGCGAAGAATATTGAATATACCGTGGACTGCCAGAAGACCAAACAAGTCTGTCCTGGAAGAAGTACAGCCAGAGTGCTCCTTGGAAGTGAGGATGGTGAGACTTCGTCTCAGATACTTTGGACATGTTATCAGGAGGGACCAGTCCCTGGAGAAGGACATCATGCTTGGTAAGGTAGAGGGTCAACGAAAAAGAGGAAGACCCTTAGTGAGATGGATTGACACAGTGGCTGCAACGTTGGGCTCTAATATAGCAATGATTGTGAGGATGGCACAGGACTGGGCAGTATTTTGTTCTGTTGTGCATAGGGTTGCTATGAGTCGGAATCCACTCGATGGCACCTAACAACAACTATTGAAGGACATTTGGGTTGTTGCCAGTCTTTGAATATTATGAATAAAGCTTCTATTAACTATTCCTGTACATTTTGGGGACATTTATATATGCATTTTTGGGTCTATACCTAGGAGTAAAATTGCTGGATTATAGGATACGTTTATGAACAGCTTTAGTTGATACTGCCAAACAGTTTTCCAAAGTGGTTGTGCCAATTTTACTTCCTAGAAGCAATGTCTGAGAATTCCAGTTGCTCCACATCCTTGCCAACATTTTTATTTCATAATGGTTTTAATTTGCATTGATCTGTGAGGTTCAGCTCCTTTTCATATGTTCACTGGCTATTTGGATATTCTCTTTGGAGATGCGATTGTTTAAGTATTTTGTCCATTTTTTTCTACTGCGTTGTCTGCCCTTTTCTTATTTATAGGAGTTCTTTAACTATTCTAGAAATGAATCATTTGTTGGCTATAGATAAAGTAAATATCTTCTCCCAGTCTGTGACTTCCTTTTTTCACTACCGTAATGGTGTGTTAATGAACAGAAGTTCTTAATTTTAATATAGCCTAGTTTATCAATCTTTCCTTTATGGTTTGTTTGTATGCCTGTCCTATTTGAGAAATCTTTGCCCACCTCAAGGTTATTTCTTCTAGAAACTTTATTAGTTAACCTTTCACATTTAGATCTACAATTCACTTGGGATTGCTTTTGTGTATGGTATGAGGTGGATGTCAAAGTCTGTTGTTTTCAGTATGCATAGTCAATTGATCAGCACCATTTACTGAAAAGGCTATTCTTTCTTTCCTACTTTACAGTGCTATCTTTGTCATAAATCAGGTGTCCATGTCCATGCAGGTCTGCTTGTTGATTCTTTATTCTATTCAAATACAATACTATTTTACTTATTGTTACTTTATAGTAAATTTTTTATCTAGTAATGTAAGTCCTTTAACTTTGTACTTATTAAAGTTTATCTTGGTGACTCTTGGCTCTTTGCATTTCCATATACTTTTAGAATCAGCTTATTAATGTCCTAAAAAAAAAAACCCAAAAAACCTACTATCATTTTTGATTTGGTTGCATTCATTCTAGAAATGAATTTAGGGACAACTTATATCTTTACAATATTGAGTTCTCCAATCCATGTATATCCTTTCATTTAAGGCTTTTAATTTTTTCTCAGTGAGTTTTGTAGTTTTTTTATGTAGAGGTCTTGCATAGCTTCATTATATTTATTCTAGGCATTTGATTTTTTTTATCCTATTATAAGTGGATAAATGGTAATATTGCTGATACATTGACTTCGATTCCAGTGATCTTGCTAAATTCAGTTATTACCTCTAATAGGTTATCTATAGATTCTTCTGAAATTTCTTCATATATAATCTTGTGATCTGGGAATAATGAGAGCTTTATTTCTTCCTTTCTATTCCATATATTTTTATTTATTTTTATTGACTTTTGTACTGACTAGGGACCTTCAGTACAATGTTGAATAGAAAGATAAGAGCAGTCATCCTAGTTTCCCTGTCTCAGGAGAAAGCTTTTAGTATTTCACTATTCAGTATTGTGTTTGCTGTGGGTGTTTGTTATGGATACCTTTTATCAGATTTTGGAAGTTTGCTTCTATTCCCAGTTTGCTAGTGGTTTTTTTTTTTTTTTAATCATAAAAAAATACTGGATTTTATGAAATACTTTTTCTCTTTGTTTAACAGACATGTCACCAAAAAAGATATTTGAATAACAAATACCAAACCCAAACCAAACCTATTGCTGTCAAGTCAATGCTGACTCGTAGCAACCCTGTAGCAAATAAAGCATATGGAAAGATGCTCAGCATCATTAGTCATTAGAGAAATGCAAATTAAAACCACAGTGACGTACCACTACACACCTAATGGGATGACTGAAATTAAAAAGATTGCCCATACCAAGTATTGAAGAGGGTGTGGAGCAACTAGAAATCTCATATACTGCCAGTGGGGAGGTAAAAAAGTACAACTTTGGAAAACAGTCAGGCAGCTTCTTAAAAAGTTAAACAAACAATCCAGCCATTTTGCTTCTAGGTATCTGTCCAAGAGAAACGAAGGCTTATGTCTATTCAAAGACTTGTACTCAAATGGTCATGGAAGCTTTGCTGTAATAGACAAAAACTGGCAACAGCTCAAATTTCTATCAGCAATGGATAAACAATTGTCATATATCTCTACAGTGGAATACTGTTGTCGTTGTTGTTGTTAGTTGCCGTCAAGTTGGTTCCAGTTCATAGCAACCCTAGGTACAACAGAACAAAACACTGCCCGGTCCTCTGCCATCTTCACAATTGTTATGCATAAGCCCATTGTTGCAGCCACTGTGTCAATCCATCTCGTTGAGGGTCTTCCTCTTTTTCGGTGACTCTCTACTTTACCAAGCATGATATCCTTCTCCAGGAACTGGTCCCACCTGATAACATATCCAGAGTATGTGAGATGTAGTCTCACTATTCTTGCTTCTAAGGAGTATTCTGGTCGTACTTCCTCCAAGACAGATTTGTTCGTTCTTTTGGCGGTCCATGGTATATTCAATATTCTTCTCCAACACCACAATTCAAAGACATCAATTCTTCTTTGGTCTTCCTTATTCATCTACCAGCTTTCATATGCATATGAGGCGATTGAAAACACCATGGCTTGGGTCAGGCGCACCTTAATCTTCAAAGTGACATCGTTGCTTTTCAACACTTTAAAGAAGTCTTTGGCAGCAGATTTGCCCAGTGCAATGCGTCTTTTGATTTCTTGCTTCTGTGGGTGTTGATTATGGATCCAAGTAAAATGAAATCCTTGACAACTTCAGTATTTTCTCCATTTATCATGATGTTGCTTATTGGCCTAGTTGTGAGGATTTTTGTTTTCTTTATGTTGAGGTGTAATCCATACTGAAGGTTGTAGTCTTTGATCTTCAGTGTTGATGAGTCTTCCTCCAATCCTGATGTAGTGTTCTTCATATAGTCCAGCTTCTTGTATTATTTGCTCAGCATACAGATTGAATAAGTATAGTGAAACGATACAACCCTGACACACACCTTCCCTGATTTTAAACCACACAGTATCCCCTTGCTCTGTTCAAACGGCTGCCTCTTGATCTATGTACACGTTCTTCATTAGCACAATTAAGTGTTCTGGAATTCCTATTCTTCACAGTGTTGTCCATAATTTGTTAT